TAACTCACTATATTTTTATCATAATAATATAATTATATAAAGTTAATTATATAAACTAACCAAACGTATCTATGACTGTTAATTGTAAAATTCAATTTGACAGATTTTCATCTCTATTATAATAAAATTATTATGATAATAAATTTATTTTGTTTAATTCCGCTACCATTAAAATGCGTGTGATTCCTAACACTCAAAGATTGACTATTACTACCAGAAGTTCCATAACCTTCCACATCGGCCATCAGTCTGCGACTGCCATTTTATTCACTCACCTTTTATGAAGTCATAAGGGTTGAAAAGTCTGTACCTAGATTTTTTAATTATTTGTTTAACTAGCGACGCTTGAATGTACTAAATTGGTTTCAGCTGTCAATTAATGTTGACATCAAGTAAAAAAGAAAGATAAAAAGGGTTATTTATTCACAGAGTTGTGAAGATTGGTTTAATAAAGATTTTATTCAGTATAAACCATACCTATGACTAGTTTCACAGTGAGCGGTTACTAATGGACTATGAACCCTGGAATACCAAGGCCATTAGATATGGATTATGTACCTTAAAAACACCCATTTAAAGAACCAATGCTATAGTAATAATTTTTATATAAGAAATAAATAAAAAAATTGTTCCTTAGTAGTATTTTGATATGAATTTATTATATAAAAAAACAACTCCATATCACTAGATTCCAGTTTGAACAGCACTAACTTTGGTAAAGATTAAAACCATATTGGTCATTACTTTTGTAATTAATTAGGTTTTAAAGATTAAATATTAATTGTAAAAGTAAAAATTCGTCAATAAAAATCTTCAAATGTCATCGTCTAACCGAACAAACTGCAATGCAACTTTTAATGTGAATTGAACTTTAATGTTTCTTGAATTAGTTTGCTTCCTCGCGGATTGAAGAAAATTGCTATAACAAATCTCTGCCGCATTTAATATCGCTGTATCTCATGACATACAGCTTGTCGCGATTTATTTTAATGTAATAGTCCTAAATTGGGTTAATATCTTCTAGATTATAAATAATCCCTAATTTTTATAGTCGTTATGGCTTTATATTATTTTTTCAACTTAATATAACTAAAAAACATTCATTTCAGGTCTCTTTTTTTCGCTAAAATTAGCTAAAAATAGATAAATAATTTTCGTGAAAAATCGTAGAAATAATATTACAGGTTCTAAATCCTAGCATTTAATTATATAGTGTAGATTTTTATATAGTTTATTAGATATATTTTAAATTATACCTGTTAAAAAAGAACATGAACATAGATTTAGAAAAATAAAGATTCGACTTTTCTTGACAATCAATCAATTTGGATGAAATAGAATTAAATAATTCAAATAGCATCGGTGGTTATTGTTTGCGACGAAAAACATCAGTCGTGATGTAATAAATGGAGTGTAATAATTCAGTGTAATTGATTGAACTTCCGCCTATTTTATTCCTCCTATTTCCTCCTGTTTTGGTAAATGACCCAAAGGGGCAAAGACTGGGTATATTTAACTTTTTGATTATTTATACCTATTCTTATTTAATTTTTTTTAAATCTGTTATAAATATAAACAACAGGTATTTAAAAATATGCCTATATTTTTATTTTTGTGTTTGTCTCTTTTATCTTTATTATTTAACAATTCCAAATCATATGTAATACAAAATTTACACCTATTGTACACAAGATCGTGTGGCCTGGCCAGCTTCTTTATATACTGGTGATGATGTATTGATTTCATGATTAGATAACTGTAAGTTATTATGAAATACAAATATGTTGTTCATATGTCTATCTCAAGGTTAGGCTTTATCCTATGCCCTACATGTAAATACAAATTTCTCCATAATTGTTTTGAAAATGGGTAAATAATATTTAATAGTAAACACAGATCCTAAGAGGAAATTCTATAACGTGAAGTAATAAAGATAGTGATAAGCGATAAACTCGGTGTTAAATCGTTGCTAACAGGAATGAACTACTTGTAAGTTAATCAACCTTTATCATCGTATACTTGATTTACTTATATCTAATCTACTCATAATATTACAGGGGAAAAGAGATTGTTAATAATGGGGTCTAACAGCCCCATTTCTAGCAGTCTATCAGTTCGACTTCTACGTGGTTCCCGCTGTTAACCTGTTAATTCTTGTAGAATTAACAGGTTAACAGCAACTCAACACAATGGGCTGACGGGCCTGCTTTTTTCCTCACCTATCACCTTTCATATTATTGAGAAGAAAGATTCGATTTTTCTTTGTCTTTACAATGCTCAAAAACTACTTAATCGAATTTAAAAAGTCACCTATAGAAAGTTACATCATCAATGAGTAAAATTTGTATATTTTATTTATGTATTTTATATATTTTTATGTATGTATTTTATTTTCTAAAACCTTGCGAAGTCGGTGCTGGTACTGGATAATATGAATATAAACAACGAAACAATGCTACCTTACATTAATGTTCTAAATTCGTCCCAGTTTAACATTTACTAAGATTAATTATTCAACTCTAATTACACGAGATTATGTTTTGGATTTCCAGGTATGTCGTATAGGTGAGACATGCTGAGCTGTTACAATATACTTCACATATTAGTTATTTATTTCTTCATATTATACAAGCATGGGTGTTCATAGTTATTCCCATTGTATATCTTGCATAGGAGATACTTATTTTAAAAAAATTACAAGATGTTTTAATAAGAAATAGCAATAGAAGCTAACTGTCTATTAGTACGTTCCAGCATCACGCAATATCTACTAAACAAAACTGTATTCATTTATCACATATTAGGATAAATAGATTTTCTTAAAATAATATACAGTCTATGTTATTCTCTGATAATGTAGCTTTATATAAGTGAAATAATTATTTATATGTAACTTCCAAGTGCAATATAGCTTAACCCGTAACATATCGCATTTATAGTCTGTCCTTCTTGAACATTACCTCTCTTAAGACGCGTCGTAATTGCAGATTTAATGTTTATTCATAAAATTATATAAAATTCATTGTGCAGATTTACTGAGTTCACTATTAACGGTTATTATCCTGACACCCTATAACTAGAACATTTAGCTTATATAGGACTGCATCAACCTCTGGCCAGGATTAAGTGCGTCATACAATGAAATTTATATGAAATTGATATAGTTACATAATTCGATATATATATATATATATATATATATATATATATATATATATATATATATATATATATATATATATATATATATATATATATATATATATTTTTACCTATAATCATTCCTCTTTATAATATTAAGATACATTTTATTTTCTGAATCTTTTTCCTTATTTTCTTCTGCAAGTTACATAAAATCTAACACCGGTATAAGTCTCTATTAATTCCCAAAAAAGAAACGGTGTTTTTACCCCTTTCCTTCTTATGGTAATGGATTGAAACGTATTTATGTTGGTACCTAAATGTTTTCAAACAATTCGGCCTTATTTTTTTGTCTGTATCCTATATGAAAATAAATTCTTTTTTATGCGAATGGGTTTGCATTGTTTGATGATCATTTTTTTAATCGTCTATTCCTTTGCTGAATAAGCTGGCGAAGATATCGTGAAATCATATACAAAATGTTGTAATCGAATTAATAACAATAATAAAGAATTTTTGTATTTCAGTTATATCTATTAATTATATATCTATTATTATGAATTAAGAGCCTAATTTTCAAATTCGTTTTTTATGTCTTTTATACTAATGTTGTGACAAATAAGCACATAGTATGTTTTATGGAAAACGATTATAGTAGTTAGCTCGTGGGCATCTACAATACCAGGAACATTTTTTTATTCATTACATTATAGAAAAGGGCATTTTCCAATAACCCTATGCTGAAAAAGGGTGGACAATATTAGCTAGCAAATATCTATCCGCTGGACAGTTTGGAATTTTAATACGTTAACGTTACTGTGAGATTGAATTTGAAGTTAAATTCAATTGTTATTTTTGTGCTTTACTATATATAGTGTATATTTTAAATGCCAAAAAAGTGCTAACAATTTAAGATATTAAAATATATATGGGTATCTGATCTTATCATAAAAATAGCCTTCTATTATTTATAGCCGTATCCCTTTTTTATTTTATGAACTAGACTGACATTATCGTTTCAATGTTCACTTTTTGTTTGTTTAGTAAGTATGTTTGTCTATATTATTTAACAACCCATACCATCCACGACTTTATTTATATATAACATTTATTTTAGTTATTGACTCACTGAGATAAAAAGTATTCTGTGTTATTTCTCAAATAAAACGCTAAATTTCATAACAAATTGTTGTGGCGTCAACTGATAAAACTGACTTACAAACTCAGGTACAACCAATATTTGGCAGATGGTATAAATAGTAAATTAATATTATAAATGTGAAAGACTGTGAGGAATGGTGGATAGATGGAAGGATGTCTGTTACTCTTTCAAGCAAAAACTACTGCACAGATTTTAATGAAATTTGGTAGGTTATATTCCACCTTAGCAGATAGTATACGAGTACTTTATGTAGTCATTAATTCACATGAACGAAACTACGACATAGAGCTAGTGTAGCATGAACGATGAATTATTATATAACTATTTTTAAATTTATGAAATTATTATCAAAAATTTTTATTGAAAACAGAAGTGAAAAATACAAAAGAAGCTTTAAAATGCCTTTGCAGATTTTAACGAGCACTTTTAAATTTTACATAAAGTTATATATAAAAAATATAAAAAAGGTTGTAACACGATCATTACTCGTACATTTTTAGTAAGATTTCCGAAAGAAAAACTAAAATTTAAAACCATCATAAAATTGGGCAAAGATATCAAGAAATACACACACAAAGACACAAAATAGAATTGAGTATCGTCTCGTTTCTGCAGTCAGTTAAAAATTCTATCAAATTCTATTAAGCGGTAGTCATAAATATGAGAGCAAATTGAAATAAATCATATTTTGTTACAGGTAAGCCGCATCAACCAGAATTTGCGAACGGCATTTTTCAAGATCAGCATTTTCATAACGAGATACATGAATACAGCTACAATAATATGTCCAGGAGTGAGTTAAACGGGAGAAGGGAGAGGAAATTTAATCACCCCGAAACGGGATTTTACATTTTAATGTGGCTCTCAATGACACCGTATTGTAATAATTATGATTATATCAATTCGCCCGCTATATAAATTTCTCCTCTAGAGACAAAAAAGTAATTTTATTACTTTAGCGGAGTTCTGTTATTCCCTTGGGTTAAAACCATTCTATTTATTTATACTTTGAAGTTGTGTGCGTTCTTAGGTTTGGATGTAAAAGTGTTGAGATGTTTAAAGGTATTAAAGACACAGTAATAGTTTATGTGCATTATATCTTAGAAAACTTTTATAAGAATGTGCTGATCTTCAAATCGAATCAAAACTGCCGGATCAAGTCGCTTAATGGATAAAGACTAAGGCTCCCAGATTAAAGCCAGTGTGAGTCTTGACGTATAGTACATGTTAGAATAAAGCCAAGAGATAAATATCCATATTGTGTTGATGTTATACAGGATATGTTTTTCTTATAGATAGGATATAGGAGTTTTACTGCAGAAAAAAAAAGGTTTGCTTAATTGGTCTCAAATGGAATAATTTGCTCAGTGCAAATTATTTATTTACTAACTAGTTGTGCTTGTGATATCTTGCTTATAATCCAAATAAAAATTTAAAAAGAATTTGAACTATGTCTTTTTGTATCTCAAATATATACATATATGATAATAAATGAAACATTAAAGTACCAAGATTAAAAATCAAACAAAAAGCTTAAAAATTAACAATTTTGACATTAACAAATAGAGTCGTTTAGAGCGGATAGGTATGAAAAGCAAAATAATCAATAAATATACTTATAATTGTATATAAATTTACATTTTCGACAAATTTTCAAGTGATGAGAAACACCGATAACAAATCCAATTAATCTAGGTGACAGCGGCAAGCTGGCCCCTGCCACGTTGGATACAAATATATCTCAGTGAAATGTATATTGGGCATATCGAATATTACATTCAATAGTCGAAATATGTCACTAATTACCCCATTTTGGAAATTAGTTGTGAATATATTTATTTTATTTTACTATAATGAGACTGTACGGTGTAAGTCAATGAATCGTTCTGAATATTTTCGTGTTGGCTTCGCTTGTTCCGTAGTGAATGAGGCGACATTTTTCTTGTAATGCCAGTTTCCGAGATTTAAGCTTTTATCGGTTATTATAATCATATTATATTTTTTTTTTTTATTTTTTAATATTCGAAATTTATTTAGTATTTTAAGCGACATCCAAAAAAGAAACACATTAAGAATCTTCCATTCTCAATATGTTTGTATTTTTTCTTGTCATTATATATATTACGAAATTACGTCATCAATTTTGAACCGAATTTAATACATCTTTTTTCAAACAATAGAGTTTACTTCTATTTTGGTTTCATATCAATTTGATGATGTTTCTAAATAAAACATTTTTCAAATTAGAAACATACATACGAAGACACGATATAAAAATAAAATATTTTCAATTCAGTGCTTCATAAATATTAATAGAATATACATCTCAGCATTTATTTGTATATAAGTACATATCAATTAATGATTGGAGCTTCTTTTTACAAAGCAAAATATTTTATCATCTTGAAACATATAGAAGGTATATTGGAAGGCATTATAGGTATATTATGGTAGATAAAATACTGTAATGATATTCCATTTATCAAAATCTATTACCCTTCTTTCTTCATCAGTCGGGTAAAAATATCGATCGATCTGCTATTCATCACGATAATCTCTAACAGTTACATTGAAAGTTTTACTTCATGATAGAATCTGAAATGAGTATATCCGTAGAAGAACTAACTGATATAATCAGAAGGATTAGCAAGTTAGAGCGGTCCACATAACTCAAAGAACAGATAACCAATGAGGAAAGAAAGTTCTTGAATGCCATGGCAGCCCCGTATAGTCCCCACTAGATAAAGATACGAGTTGAAATATGTTAGGGGAAGTCAATAGACGTAAGTAGTTGAGGAGAGTTCTGAAAGCAGTTTATGGTGGAGACCTATATCCAGTGGTAGTTAATGAAAGACTGAAATAACGACAAAATAAGACATGACATAACGTAAACAAAATTCGGTGTAGATACACGTCGTATTTAGGATAAAGAAATGAGATAAATTGTTGTTTATCCCAGTCAATCAATATATATATTGGTCACGTAAATATAGTCGCAAGTAATTACGAGTTATAAATAAATGAATAAACAAACAGGAACAAAACATGTTTATGAACTCATATCTCTTCTATTACCGACGTCTAATGTCGCGCGACAAAGCAACAAAATATTGTTTTCTGTAGAAAAGCAGGCAACTCGTAAACCTTGAAAGTAAGGGGCTGTTGAGATCGTTAAGGGGCTGTCCACATAGAATGACATTTTGAAATGTCACCCCGTAATAAATAATAAAAAATATTACTACACGTATATACTCGTAGCACAGAGCTATCTTATTCTCAAACTAAGCACAGCTTATATAATGGGTACAAGACAATTTGTAGAAAAATTTAAATCCTTTTTTGGATACATATTGTGCATTAAAAATACTTAGACGGATATAATTAGATAACCTTTGAATACAATAGCCACGAACAAAATTATAAAGAGATCGAATCGGATCTACTATCGGAGGATTTGTTAAACTGCTGTACCACCAATATATCATATCATATTATAATGTAACTGACAAAAAATCATAAATTATAAATATAAAATAATAAATTAATTAAAGCGTACTAACAAAAGTAAATATAAAGAAACATATACCAAGCACACATTTAAATGTCACGTGGACAAATTATGTAGTCATCATTATCATATCAGCCCTTAACGATCCACTGCTGAACATAAGCCTCCTCTTGGAAGTTTTGCTAGTAGTTGCCACGCTTGGCAGGCGGATTGGCAACCGCAGTTAGACTGTATAGATGTTTTAAGACGGACGCTGTTGCCCATAAGGGGAAAGGAAGGGGTAACCTACTCTATGCTGGGATCATACGGCCAAATTTGTGTTTGATGTGTTTACTCATCGAATAAGGAAGTTGATGTGATAATGGGCTGGTCACATAGCTCAAAGAACCGATAACCAATGGGAAAGAAAGGTTCTTGATTGGCGACCCCGTACTAGCCAACGCAATGTAGGACGACTCTCCATTAGATGAAGCGATGATCTCAAATGCATTGCAGGAAGTCAGTGCATGGAGGTGACTCAGGATCGTTATGGCAGTCTATGGGAGAGTCCTATGTTCAACTGACATAATAAGATGATGACGCGATGTGTAAAAAATATTATTATATATTTGAAATCATAAAAAGGGAAAATAAATTAAGGAATTTTCCGAATCCTCAGCAACATTTAAAATAAATTTTTGCCGTCCCTTGTCGTATGAACGTGCCCTTATTGCCAACAAACTCGTAGCTTATAAAATTTATTGAAGCACCGCACTGGCTTACTGGGATCCAATCGGCTAAGTTACTCGACGTAATGCCATACTGAATTTTTATGAGCTTAAAATTCTATATAGGCACAATCTCTAACGTCATTATGATTTTACGATTTGGAGCGTACCGACCCTAATTATAAATTATAGCGGGATGAATTATTATCGTGTTATAATACGAGTATAATGTGAACCTCGGATAACCAGTGGTGTCATAATATTACATATCGTCTCTGTCTGAAGCAGATGTGCTTGTTGGCCTGGGTTTTAGTTTGAATGGATATTTTTAAGGGATATTTTAGATGGAATTAAAGGATACATTTATAACACTATAGTCCTCGGAATAGCTACGCATAAAAGGTATTATACTCACAATGTATTCTGTGATGTCACCGATGCTTTTAATGTATAAAGTTGTTTTGGCATCGTAAGCATTATAAAAAAAAAATACAAGGATAGACAGAATATTTTTTGATTCTTTAATGTGATAAAATCCATCATTGAGGCCCACTTTTCCTACCGAATTCCTATTGTCTACATCTCTATGATGTTCTACCTCTTCACCCCATTATCGGAGCCAAGGTTTCTCTTTTGTATTGGACAGTAATTGACTTAATGCAGATACTGCAAATATACTAGAAACAATAAATTGTGTAAGCAATTTGTAAAAGCTGTTAGGGGAGACATTATGTTCTATACATGACTAACAAATGCGATTCAACAGTACGACGTAAGTATCGTACTCGCCCTGAAGAAAACTCCCAGATGAAGTCGAAACAACTTTCGAAAACGACATTCATATAAAATTAATTAAATTCCCGTATTTCAATTATATCTAAGGCAACAGATGTTGATTATGATGATGAAATATCGTTATCGAATGAAATATAATTAATTACACTTTTTAATAGTCATCGATTATTAGAGTTACGAAATTGTTTCAGTGGTAATTTTAGAATTTATTATCATAATTTTTATTTAGATAGGTAATAGGTAATGATCCTGTCATAAAACGAAAATGTATGAAATAATAACTATTTGAAAATTAAATATTTAAATTTTTATCATTTTTAATAACTATTACTTATTATTACGTATTTATAAGATTAGCAACATCTACACAATCTTTTACAGTAACCATTTAATATAAGGTACGCAGTACACCTGATCGCAGTGATAAAATAAAATCTATATTATGTAATAAATCAATAATTTCAAATTAAATTCATATCTATTTAATATTTCACGTATATATACATTATATATCTATACATACGTATGTTACGTATAGAAAACGATAATTGAATACTGTAGCCATAAAACCATTTCGTAATATCGATCTTAAATTCCGTTGAATTATCGGTTGAATCATTATAGAACAAATATAATTATAATTAATTTATAATTATTTTAATGTATATATAATATAATTAATTGCATTTATGATAAATAATTTCAATATATATGTAAACTATGTATTTTACTATTTATTTTCATAAAAAGAAAAAATTCTTATAATTCTTTTTTATGAAATCTTTTTTCATACAACAATAAAATCTTTCAACTATAAAATAATTTTTAAAATCCTACTACTAATACTACTATATATATATATATATATATATACTAAATAAAAAAAATTACAAACGTAGACTACATAGCATAAAAAATTCAAATGGAAATACACAGTTTAATTAAGAACCTTTTTAAAGTCACTTAACAATCATAATGTATATTTTATTTCCTTTTATTTGAATAAATAGTATTGTTTCTTATTCTTTCACTTATTTAATATTGTCTACATAGATATTAATAAACTTTGTGTTTAAAATAACTAATGAAATTCCCCGTGCAGTCTATCAAAGCTGAATATGAAACAAAGTAACTTTGAAGACCATCAATA